ATGGCATGGCCATCACTAAATGAAACATGTTCTACTGTGGAATTGGGTTTCACATCTACACCCTCTAGATAATTTGAAATAGTGGCAGAAGTGTTAGATTTGTTAGATTTCTAAGCTCACAAGTTTTTTTAACAAGACCTAGCCCTGGTTGCTAAAATGGTGGATAATGCTAACCATCAATAAAATCTCAATCCAGCTGATAGCACAGCACATTTTATCAAGCAATTATTGGATGAGGTTGAGCATGATATCATAAACGATCAAAAACAATCAAATCTTATCTACCTCAGCTGAAGGCTGAGGTAGATAACACAGACACAAGGTTTGATAATTCATAATATCATGCGAAAACTGAATTCCGGCCATAATTGTTTTATCATACATTTTTTAAAACAACCTGCCAAAGAAGACACTTCTCTCTGAGTTTGCAACAGTTTAAGAACACTACAATGACAAGGGGCTTGGGAACTAGTAGACTTTGAACTGGACGCATTATAAATCATGCAGATGTTGCTTTATCATGTCAATGTCACACACTATTGTACACTGATTCTATGCTCCCTACCAATCAGATTTTTATAGTTAGTCCAATGTACTATAACATGTACTTAATATCGACTGAGTGGCAGGGCTGGACGGGAAAATATTTGGCTTGAGGTCATGACATATGGACCAAGCTCAGCCAGGTCCATGCCTCGTGACTAAGAGCTGAATATTTTCTCCTTCAGCCTGACCAAACTCAGTCAATAAGCATTTTGTCACATGACCTGTAAGTGTTGAAAAAAAATCCCAACCTAAATAGGATTCAATTGGAGGGCACACCCAGCCACACCCAGCCACACCACCACAAAAAAAGTTTTGAAGTTATAATTTTTCCTGTATTTTTTCAAGTCAGAATAAGAAACTCCCAATTCCTTGAAACACTCAACTTTTTTTCTTATTTCTGTATTCCTTTAAGTTTTTGCAACAAAGCAACGCAAGGGCAGCAGGGCAGGATAGTCTAATTATAGTTAACATGGCCGGATGAGGTTAAAACAGCGTAAAGGGAAACTTGATACCAGGCTCCCTCTACTCTTACGCCACATTTGCCTACATTAGATTCCCTTTGTCAATGTGCTCATGCTAGAAAATAAATACCACAAAGATTCTCTTACCTTTCCTGACTTTGTTTGTAGTCCACTCAGTAAGATATTTTGGCAACACTTTCCCCATGTTACCATCTTCTGGAAATAATTGCATCACATTCATCCCAGTTTTCTTCCCTGACCAAAAATAAAAGAATGAAAATGTCTCCCTTGGTAAAGCACAACATACAGTTTTAAGAACATAAACTTGAATTAATAGATATTGCAAGGATGAAAATATATTTTTTTTATGTTGCTATGCATCTGTACAGTGCTTGGTGCAAGGCGCAATGACCTCATGGTTAGTGCAGTCAACTCCAGATCAAGTGGCCCCGGCCAGAAACATTGTGCATTCTTAGGCAAGAAACTTTACTCTCACAGTGCCTCTCTTCACCTGGGTGTTTAAATGGGGAGCGGCCAATTAAATGCTGGGGGGTAACCCTGCGATGGACTAACATCCCATCCAGGGGGGAGTAGAAATACTCCTAGTTGCTTAATTTGCTATGGAAACCAAAGATAAGCGCCAGCCTGACAGGCCACTTGGCTTGTAAACAGACTTTACCTTTTTTAATATGTCTGTAGGGTAATTAATCACAGAAGATGTAAAAATGTAGTAAGAACATCACTGCCACACCCAGCTGCACCTCATGTGCCATTGTTTTGTTCTTACTACATGTGAACTATTACTGAACAGACACACAGCTGCATGGAATATAATTTATTTGTTAAACAGATACCATAACAGTTTGGTACCTCTGTGACCAAGTGCACAGGCAAGTTCACTTCCAAGAAAGCCTCCACCAACAACAACCACAGATTTGGCATCTTTGACAGCTTTATCGAGCTCCTTGAAATCTTTAATCTGAAAATAAGACAAGGATTAGTCCTAATTTTTTAGTCTTGTTTCTGCTTGAGAAGTAACAAGTAAAGTTATGGTTTATCATCTCACCTTCCTAAATAATGTTGTTCTCTTTTTTACTTCATCACTACTTTCTCTAAAAATGGGCAGATTCTTTGGAATACCACCTGAATAGAAGCAAATTTGACATTTCATTTTTCATTTACTCTGATGAGTTATATATCCCACATCCCAAAATTATTTTGAAAAAACAATAACATGATGTTTATTGCATGACCAATCAAGATAAAACTACTCACTCGACTCAATTTATCAACACTATTATAATAATACTTTGGATACCTTTCCTCGTAAAGTAGTAACAAGAGTTTGGTGTTAGATCAAGATTAAAACTTCTACGTGATTAGTTTGAGTATTCTCATTACCTGTTTGCTAGATAATGTACGGATATTATGGGGAGAAGTTACATGTTAATCACCTCTAGGAGGTTTAAGGAGATAATCATATCTCTAGAAAAGTGATTTACTTGTCTGTGAAGCCACCAAAAATTTTTTTTTTGGCAACTAATCTTGCCCAATGTGAGTACTTTCAGCTTTTACAAACATTATTTTAACTCTGATCAAAAGATTAGTCAAGTTTGTGGCTATGTAACTATATCATTGCAGATGATCATGAAGACTACCAACCTGGTGCCAAAAGCAGTTTATTGTACCCAATCTCTCCTCCATCATCTAACTTGACTTTTTGATCCTTGCTATTAATTCCTACAACCTGTTCAGTACAATAGACAAAAAGTACTGTAAGTCAAAGCCAAACTAGTTGGTCCATGATGTAAAGAATGTTGCCTGTTAACAACGAACATGCACATGGCATGCTTTATGCTTGCATA